AATCATCTTTCTTTAATGATCTTATCATTTTGAATAGTTTTTTCTGTTAAGTTTCTGGACCTTTTGGTTTGAACTCTTTCATGTTTAATTTCTATTTTTTTTTTTTTGTTTTCTAAAATGCATTTGCCTGCGGGCGCCAACACCCCCCTTCAATTTTTTTTTTTTAGTTATTTAACTCTAGTTAAATATTTTGTTTAGACTTGAACGTTGATAACCTGCATTGGCCCTATGTATCACCTTTCTTTAATGATCTTATCATTTTGAATAGTTTTTTCTAAGTTTCTGGACATTTTAGTTTGAACTCTTTCATGTGTGGTCCTATTGTTTAATTTCTAATTTTTTTTTTTTTGTTTTCTAAAATGCATTTGCCTGCGGGCGCCAACACCCCCCTTCAATTTTTTTTTTTTAGTTATTTAACTCTAGTTAAATATTTTGTTTAGACTTGAATGTTGATAACCTGCATTGGCCCTATGAATCATCTTTCTTTAATGATCTTATCATTTTGAATAGTTTTTTCTGTTAAGTTTCTGGACCTTTTGGTTTGAACTCTTTCATGTTTAATTTCTAATTTTTTTTTTTTTGTTTTCTAAAATGCATTTGCCTGCGGGCGCCAACACCCCCCTTCAATCTTTTTTTTTAGTTATTTAACTCTAGTTAAATATTTTGTTTAGACTTGAACGTTGATAACCTGCATTGGCCCTATGTATCACCTTTCTTTAATGATCTTATCATTTTGAATAGTTTTTTCTAAGTTTCTGGACATTTTAGTTTGAACTCTTTCATGTGTGGTCCTATTGTTTAATTTCTAATTTTTTTTTTTTGTTTTCTAAAATGCATTTGCCTGCGGGCGCCAACATCCCCCTTCAATTTTTTTTTTTTAGTTATTTAACTCTAGTTAAATATTTTGTTTAGACTTGAATGTTGATAACCTGCATTGGCCCTATGAATCATCTTTCTTTAATGATCTTATCATTTTGAATAGTTTTTTCTGTTAAGTTTCTGGACCTTTTGGTTTGAACTCTTTCATGTTTAATTTCTAATTTTTTTTTTTTTGTTTTCTAAAATGCATTTGCCTGCGGGCGCCAACACCCCCCTTCAATTTTTTTTTTTTAGTTATTTAACTCTAGTTAAATATTTTGTTTAGACTTGAACGTTGATAACCTGCATTGGCCCTATGTATCACCTTTCTTTAATGATCTTATCATTTTGAATAGTTTTTTATGTTATGTTTCTGGATATTTGAGTTTGAATTCTTTCATGTGTGGTCCTATTGTTTAATTTCTAATTTTTTTTTTTTGTTTTCTAAAATGCATTTGCCTGCGGGCGCCAACACCCCCCTTCAATTTTTTTTTTTTAGTTATTTAACTCTAGTTAAATATTTTGTTTAGACTTGAACGTTGATAACTTGCAGTGGCCCTATGAATCATCTATCTTTAATGATCTTATCATTTTGAATAGTTTTTTTTTAAAGTTCTGGACCTTTTTGTTTGAACTCTTTCATGTGTGGTCCTATTGTTTAATTTTTTCTAATGTTTTTTTTTTGTTTTCTAAAACGGAGTTGCCTTCGGGCGCCAACTCCCCCCTTCAATTTTTTTTTTTTTAGTTATTTAACTCTAGTTAAATTTTTTGTTTAGATGTGAACATTGATAACCTGCACTAATTATTTTAAATAGTTTTATCTGTTTAAGAATCTGGGCATTTTGTTTGAATTCTTTCATGTGTGGTCCTATTGTTTATTTTCTAATTTTTTTTTGTTTTCTAAAACGGATTTGCCTTCGGGCGCCAACACCCCCCTTCAATTTTTTTTTTTTAGTTATTTAACTCTAGTTAAATATTTTGTTTAGACTTGAATGTTGATAACCTGCATTGGCCCTATGAATCATCTTTCTTTAATAATCTTATCATTTTGAATAGTTTTTTCTGTTAAGTTTCTGGACCTTTTTGTTTGAACTCTTTCATGTGTGGTCCTATTGTTTAATTTATAATTTTTTTTTTTTGTTTTTGTTATCTGTTTAAGAATCTGGTCATTTTCGTTTGAATTCTTTAATGTTTGGTCCTATTGTTTAATTTCTTCTAATTTTTCTTTTGTTTTGTGTTATCCGATTAAGATTCTGGACATTTTATAATTTGACTCTTTAATGTGTGGTCCTATTGTTAAATTTTTTCTATTTTTTTTTTTTTGTTTTGTGTTACCTGTTTAAGAATCTGGACATTTTCGTTTGAACTCTTTCATGTGTGGTCCTATTGTTTAATTTCTAATTTTTTTTTTTTTTGTTTTCTAAAACGCATTTGCCTGCGGGCGCCAACATCCCCTTCAATTATTTTTTTTAGTTATTAAACTCTAGTTAAATTTTTTGTTAAGATGTGAACATTGATAACCTGCACTAATTATTTTAAATAGTTTTATCTGTTTAAGAATCTGGGCATTTTGTTTGAATTCTTTCATGTGTGGTCCTATTGTTTATTTTCTAATTTTTTTTTTTTTCTAAAACGCATTTGCCTGCAAGCGCCAACTCTCCGCTTCAATTTTTTTTTTTAAGAATTTAAGTATTGTAGAAATATTTTTATAGACTCTAACATTTATAACCTGCATTGGCCCTGTGAATCATCTTTCTATCTTTCTATCATTTTGAATAGTGTTAGATTCTGAGTGGAACGATGAATCTATTGATTTTACAATGATGTGTTTTTTTTTATTTTTTTTTTATTGTGTCTGTGTACACGATAAGTAGTCGAAATAATGCTTCGATTTTCGACTTCAGTATCTTGTTCGATTGGAAAGTGAATATCGTTGGTGCATTGGGGAGGTCAAAATATACGATAACATTTTCAAAATATTTTGATTTATTTTGAACTGTTTAGGGACATTTTCATTTTTCATTTTTTTTTAGTTTTTTTTTTTAGAAATATCAATAACATTTTATTTGTTGGTTAAAAAAACTTGAAAATTCAATAAAAGGCTCCTAGTATATTGTTCCAAAGGCAGATGAAAAATATTAAAAATCGTTAGTTACAGTTTTTTTTTATAAGCATTTAAAGTTCAAAAATTGACAAAATATGGAAAAATCACGAAAATTAGCAAATTATTTTGAGTTAAGAATTCGTAAAAATTTTTCTTTTTAAATCTAAGATTTGCAAATGTAATACAAGATTACTCCTAAGTTTGTCTACCTTTGTCAATAAAAAAATCTCTACCGGACAATCAAATTAAATTTTTATGAGCGTTTGAAATTCAAATTTTTACAACATTGGATGTTCACTCGATTTCTCATGTAGCGATTTCCTTATTTTGTTGTTATTCATAAACGTCAAACGAATAACTATAGATACATGGAAATTTCACTGAATGTTTATATTAGCATTTCCTATACACCATACAATTTTGAAAATATTTTGACTCTTTTTGAGCTATTTACGGATATTTTCATTTTTCAATTTTTTTTTTTTTTCTATGAATATCAATAAAGTTTTATCTGTTGGGCCAAAAAGTGTAAAAATTTAATACAAGGCTCCTGATATATTGTTACAATATCAGTTGAAAAATATTAAAAATACATAGGCACAGTTTTTTTTTATAAGCATTTAAACATCGAATTTTGACAGAATTTTTCAAAATCTCGAAAATTATTAATCATCGTAATTAATTAATTATAAAATGTTCAGTTTTTATAGCTAAGGATTGAAAATTTAAAACAAGATTCCACGTAAGTAGTTAATTCTCTTACCAAAAAATCTACAAAATATACAATCACAGTTTATTTTTATAGTCATTTTATGTTCAAATTTGGACGAAATTACATATTAAAAAACCTAGTTATTTCGTTGTGATTATATAATATTATTCGTGGGTACCTACTTGAAACTTCTAAAGTGTACTATTATATATCAATGATAGTATCAGGGTTTGTTATTGATGTTGATGTATAACGTGTTATAAGTACCTAATGGATATTGTGATAATGTGATATGATTAATTTGGAATTTATTATAGGTCAATTTTTTTTAATACCATAGATATGTATATAATTTGTCTTAAACCTAGACTGACATACCGTCTTCGCTCAGAATCGTTTTTCTTATACAATGATATTGTATCATTGAATTCAAGTTTAATACCATCCATTATACAGTGACCCACTTGTAACCTACAGTACAGCAGAGCGACATCCACTTACCCACCTTTTTTTTTTTATATAAATTAATGATTTAATAAAGTTCTATGATAAATTGAATAACATTTTGATTTGTATTTATTTTTATTTGTTGCTATTTTTTATGTCTTTACTGTCTTAACTTATAAGTTGAATAAACAATATTTATAATAAATATATTAATTAGTAATTACCATTTTTTTGGTTTTTCTACTATAACTCAAAAAGTAATCTTGAATGTAAATTTTGAAAATACCATATTGGACGTCGTATATATATATATATATATATACCTGCATAGATTCACACAATTAATATTATCACTAGATAATATTATCGTATAACATCGTATTTTGTTTTTATGAAATTACAATACAATGAATACAAAGCAAATGAACAATTTATTATAAATCATAATTAAACAAATATAGGTAACATACAACAGTTAATTAAATATTTTTAAAATGCTCTAACAAATCAATAATAATAATACAAATGTGGACACAATCAAAAATTAAATCTTGATACCTTCATCCTTTTCGCGTATGGCCGTGCGACCGTATGGCCGTATGGTCTATGTGCCTGGAAGGTCTCCTGATGACAACAAAAATATTATATTGTCAATATTAATTGTAATTAAAATTCATCACAATTAGCAAGCGGTATATTTCAATAATAGAAAGTATATTATTTTATAATCACAGTTCAATTTACAATGATATGTAAATTTGTGTTCAAAAGGCTAGAGTGTATTTGAAATATAACCGTGAAATACCGATTTGTGTAGAGTTTATACAAAAATAGGTACCTAAGTATATAGTATGCTTGTACAGCTTCGGTGGTATAATATTATGGCTGTTTGGAAGTATTAATACTCACAAAGTTTTCTTTCTTAGATTCCTTTATTTCTCGTTTCTCGTCTAAATTCAAACCATTAAACATCGCCACAAGGAGGTCCATGGAATCAACCGGTTCGGTCATTTCTACTTCGAAATCGTCCACAAAATACTCGTGGCACATCATTTTAGTCATCTTTCGGAAATCGCTCGTCCGCAGACACGGACACAGTTCCAAATCTCCAGTTATCTCCAGTATTTTCATCTGTTCGTTTATCTTCCACACGTTTTCTTTACAGACTGGTAACAACCTATTTGGAGCTGCATAATTCGTCGAGGCATTGCAGACTCCAGTCATCGCGTCACATCCAGACATTACGGTAGGAGACGAATTATCAGCCGACATACCAAACCAAGCCAAAAATTTATTGCTCGTCTGGATTTTTTAACGAAATATCCGCTTATTTTTATTTTTCCGATCAATCGGAACAATTTAAATTTTGAGTGAAGTAGCAAAATGCCACTGCGAAATAATGCGTCCCAGCTTACATCACATGGCACGATACAACATAATGAAGTTGTACAATAAATTATAGAAAAAACTTTGAAAATCAGTTGAATAGTTGAAAGAGTGTAGAGTGAATACTTAATATACCAAATGGATTTTTGTTTTATATCGTTCCAATTTAGAATATGTACTGCGTATATATACATTGTTTATTTCCGGTTTCTATGTTGGTCTAGTATAACAAAATACTCGTTGATTTAATTTCAGCCGTCGAATATATTATATAGATGTATGCTTAGATATTTTTACAATAATGTATATTAATATAAAGAACTCGAACATCACTGCACATATCAATCGGCAGTGGTAGAAAAAAATTTGTAGAGACTCAAAACATTATACTTATTATGACATGAAGCTCGCATATATAATATATTATATAATGCATGTTCAACATAGAACATATTTGGACTTCAGCGGAATTAATTTTGTGTTTTTAGTTGTATTATTACAGTATTTATTATCAAATGTTTTAAAGGTAAAAATATTCTCAGTATTCTTTAGGTGGCTTTTTCTATCTTCATTTACTGAAGTCATGCATTGGCAAACCATTTCCAAAGTCCTAAAAAAGCATTTATATTGTTATTACTTATAAGTTATTTCTTTATGGATGAAAATATTTAAATCTCAAGAATTTAAATTAGAAGAACTTATCTGATTGTGTAAAAATAAAACCCAAAGTTGAAAGTATTGTCATTGACGACTGACATAAATGACACGAGCGGCGGCAACGAAATTGCATATTGCCAAAAAAAATTTATGAATGATTTTGTAGTTGAAAATTTATAAAATGTTCAACTTTTAGAGCTAAGGATTGAAAACTTACAACAAGGTTCCGCGTAAGTAGGTTCTTCTGTAACCAAAAAATCTCAAAAATATAAATCATCACGGTTTTTTTTTTTAGTTACCTATTTTCTATTAAAAATTGGAGGAAATTACACATTAAATAACCAAGAATAACGGTTTTAGTTATTTTTTTTTGTAATTTTATAATATTAATTCAACTTACCGTATTATAATAATAACTAATAAGTAATAACAATATAAAGATATTATAAAATATCCAGACTGACAAACCGTCTCCGCTCGGAATCGTTTTTCTCATACAATTATATTATATCATTGAATTCAAGTTTAATATACTCCATTATACATTGACCCACTTGTAACCACAGATATATATAATAACTAGATACCCGACTTCTTCTTATCAATGACGCTGGCAGCCATTTACAACTATGGCAATGTTTACAATGATAACAATAGTTCATATCAAACAAGTCTGTTGCCCAACTTACTGACTACTGTGGTACTGACCCTTTTTCGACGATTATTGTAGGTATTTGAGTATTTGACTCATTACATTTAATACACCTATATTTACCTGTGTTTAATTATGTAAATTTTTCACTGTCATTACATTTAATTTAGACTATGCTTCTTCTCCCTCGCCTCTATCCAGTATTTCATTTTCGATCTTCCTAGCTGTTCAAAATAAACTACGATTGATGGCATATCTCTATGATCATAAAGAGTGAAGTCGCTGGTCAAAATCAGTTGAACCACATTTTGAAATAGGCAGCTTATAGTCAAGTCCATTAATTCATATTCACTTCACTGATTCTTTGATTTAAACTTATATTTTTAGGCTTACAGTAAATCGTAAAATGTAAAATGAGTGTAACTTAACTGGTTCATCCATCAATTATGGTATAATTATGTATAACTGTATAAGAATACTTGTAATAATATTAAGTTTATGAAAAAATAATTATATTATGAGTATATTGTTATGAAATATTTGTATCACAATGTATGATATCAAAACGATTAAAAAATGATAAGAATTTGTAAACATTGCCATAGTCACAAATGGCGTCGGGCATCATAATTTAATAACGTTGTGGTATATGGAGTCGGGTATCTAGTTATTATATATATCTGTGCTTGTAACTAGGGATGGCAACGATACATCGATGTTTTGGAAACATCGATGTTTTAAACTAAAATAATCGATGTTTGACATCGATGGTTAAGTTTCGATGTTTTGTATCGAGGTTTATGTTTACCGATGTTTTAATTTCGATGTTTGCCTTGTCTTCGATATTCTTCGATATTTCATAAAATAAATATTTTTAAAAAAATGTTCCTAACATAATATTATAGATATAATTTATGATTGAATATAAACATGATTAGGAAAACATCTAGAAATTCGCTAAACTAGACCGGCCCAAAAATCTTTAAAAAAGTATATTGATAAAACTAATATAGGAAATCAAAAACATTTATGACCTGAATTAACCATGTATTTATCTACACCTGTATCATCATTAAAAACTGATCCATTGATTTCTTGGGAAGAATTAAAACCCCTGTATCCATTTATATATAATTTAGCCTTAAAATATTTATCTGGTGTCTGTACGTCTGTCCCAAGTGAAGGCTTTTTTCTTGTGCTAGCAACACCATATCAAAAAGAAGAAACCGATTATGTGGGAAATCGGCATCGAAATTAATTTTTTTAAACAATCTGGAGGATCAATTTTGGCCATAAATATATAATAATTAGTAGGTACCTACCTACTATAATTTTTTTAATTTTTCCAATAAATAAAATAAAGAGTTGCTTATGTATATTTAAATTTTAAATGTGTATAATTAATAATATTATTATAATATATAATAATTAATTTTATCCTATAAAAAGTATGTTTTTTTAAATTGTCGATATTGTCACCATCGATGTTTAGTAAAATATACATCGATACATCGAAACATCGATGTTCAAAAAAAAATTGCCATCCCTACTTGTAACCTACTGTACGGCAGAGCGACAACCACTTACCCACTTTTTATTTTATTTTTTGACATTCAAGTTGATTTTGTTTCATTTTCTATTGTTATATTATTAAAAAATTAATAAATAATAATGTTAAAAGCTATGTACTTACCTACTTATTGAATTGCAATAACGTTATTACTTATTTCAGAAAAAATAATTTGAACGTATTATTAATTAGAAGTTCTAAACGTATTAGGGATTAATGAATGTTTTTCGAGCGGAGCGAAAAAAAAATGTTTAGGTTACATACATATTTTATTAGTGCGTATACCCATAAATATATTTACCAATACACCACTGGCAATAGGTAATAATTCATCTCAAAACAATACAACTACATAGAATGGAATACCTAGAAGACTTCCAGAATTTCATTACAATTAACAGTCGATGCATTTGCTTCTAGAATGGAATTTAGAATCAGTATACACATCTTGTATAGGTAAAATTGAAAAAAAATTTACTACACATGTTTAAACTAAATGTTTCACTTTAAAATTTTTAGATATACTAATTTACACTAAAATATTGAACAAGTTCATATTATTCAAAACATTGCTTTTATAACGATGACATAATATCAAAAAACAGTATTTCAATAATACTAATGAGGTTACTTTACAAAGAATAATGTTTTAAACAAAAGTTGTCAAAACATGTTGGTGGGATATTGTTTGTGATATAATCAAAAATGGCTTTGCAATGACAGTTTTTTAGTATTCTATAGCCAGTGTAATTTGTTAGAACTTTTCATTCTAAAATCAAGGTAATATAAGACATAAGTTAAAGTAGTTACCTAATAAAATACCAATTAAATAAATATATTTCTACTGTGACTTATTATAGGAAATACATTTTGGTAATGATGCCTTGAATTCCCCAAAAGGTAAATTGTATTCAAAACATTTCAACTCCATTTGAACAATGACACAATGTGGATAAAAATTATGGATTTATTTGGTAATTTATAACAATTAATAATGTATTGTACATAATAATGAGTAATTTATTAGTAAATATAAGATGTGGAATTTCTTGGAGAAAAAATTGAAGTATAATGGTACCTATGGCTGGTTAGTAAATAAAATGTAACTAAGAAGGAGTGGCATAGCTAGAAACTTGTAGGCCCTAAGAGACAGCTTTCTTTAACACAGAAATTAAATAAAAATAAAAATATTCATATTATTAAATAGTGATTGTAGGAGCTAATAATAATTATAAGGATTGTAAGGAGACCACAACATACGACGTACAAATAACAATATTTTCATCAATAGATTATAGAATTGTAGAACTGTGAAGCCTACATTGTAGTGACTGCCTTAGAAATAATATTCATAGAATAGCTGTGCTGCAATAACTTATATGATGCTATGAGCCGTGTACACATTAGAGTCTTAAACACTCAGATTCAAAAATAAAAATCTTAGAATAATATTAAATACATAATAAATATACATTAATAGGCCCTTAATGGCTTAATAATTCATAATACTTCTAATTCTTATAACAGCTGGTCTTCTCAAAATATTTCTAAAATTGAGTTATTAATAACTAAGCACAATTTTATAGAAACATAAAACATTGATATTATGATTTTAGAATGTAGTATTTAAGGGATCATTATTGCATTTTTAATTTACTGCTTATGATATATCTTCTAGGTTAATATTGATATACAAAGTAAATATACAGACAATTCCAGGGCCGAATCTTGAACTCTGAGGGCCCTGGTGCAAAAGAAAACTTAGGGGCTCCCTTGAAAAACAATTCACAGTATTATACCATTATATTTTTACTACAAATCGAATTGCATTATAAATTTATAACCATATTTTAACATATAGGTATATTAGGTAATATGATATTAATCCTAAATAATTAATAATTTATTTAACATCATTATTACATAAATATCTAAGATATTCTATTATAAGAAATATAATTTATAAAGCAAAATTGTCAATAATTTTCTCAATAGGTATTTAGATTTTTAGTTCGTTCTTTTTTATATTTGAAATTGCTATACTAGATGAACGCACTCGTCCACATGCGTTTCTTAAGTAATTTTTTATTAGTTTTAGTTAGGAAAATGATTTTTCTGCTCCAGTGATTGCTGTCATTATAATTTATATAAGAAAAATAATGCAAGCTCTTAAAACGTCACTTAGGTATATATCATTCGAAAACCATTTCGACGGGTTGTCGAAGTACCTACCTATAGTCAGTGGCGTATCCAGGGGGGGCTGTATCCCCCCCCTGAAATGTCAGGAAATCTTAAATTATTATTTATAAAATAATATAAAATACATAAGCACTATACGGCAATGCGGCATAGTATTACGTTGTTTCCATATTCAAGCAATATCACAGACACAAAACGTGTATAACGTCATGTCTGTCAGTATCGATATTATCAATTATCATATTGAATATTCACATTGTTATCATTCTTAAAATAATAACGACTATCGCGAGAGCAACTTTACTATCATCGTGTAAACATAACTTAAGTGTAACACTTGTTTTTGTTCAGAATTAAAATGCTAATATTTTTTAAAATTGAAGTCAGTATTTACAAAAACATTGAATCATAAAAAGTTTTTTTTTTAATTGAGTTGGCATAATAAATTTGGAGCCTGTAATTATACATTACATTTGCATTTTATTCATTGGCAATATTTTTATCGAGTAGACATCAATTAGAAAAAATATGATGTATAATTTAGTCACTTCTTTGGATATGTGCATCCTTCTTAAAATCTTTAAATTAAATTAAAACTATTATGATTCTACTCCTAATTCTAATAGTAGTCTGGTAGAGTGGAGTATTATTTTCTAGTGCTCATAAAAAACTCTAAAAACATGTTTAAAATATTTTGCATATTTTATTTTATGATTAGGTATATTATTTATATTATAATATTATTCAATAATAGTTATCTTATAAACTTCAAACTAATTTTTAAATCGTTTAGTTTTTTTGGTGTTTTCTTGTTTTTAGCACCTTCTTCATTTTTTTCTTTTGTAAGTGAATATCATTCTTGTTTTTACATAATGCGTTATGATATATTTGGTTAATATTTGACTGTGTATTTAGCAACCAACCTTTGTCAAAAAATTTGTTTATATATTTCTTCAATAAATATAAATTATGTTAGAAAAATAAACAGTGAAAAATGTATAATATGTAGTTTTCAAATTGAAATGCAACATTAAAAACATGATCTTTTACCGGGACAGCTAGTTATATTTATTATATTTAGATATTTTACACTATAATCTAGTACAGTACTTCTCAATTCTTTTTGTCATGAGGCTCCCTAAATTTAATGTAAAACTGTCAAGGCCCTTAATCATAATTATTAATTGTTTTTTCTAAATTAGGTATATATTAAAATTACATGTACTATGTACTATTTCACACAGATAAATTATTAAAATGTATAGTAATTTTATATACTTTTGAAAAATATTAATGATAGTATTAAAATTTAGGTATTTATTCTTTATTCCATAAACGCTTAAAGTCAAAAAATAAAAATAAAAATAAAATAACAACATTTTTTACTAGTGTGCCTGGAAGTTCTAAGTAGGTACATTGAACCCTACAATAATCTTAAAAGAAAACATGAACACGTTAATCAATCGGAATCGGAATTTTGTTCTTTAAATAAACATTTTTCATTTTTGAAATTTATTTTCTGTAGAGTACCTTACCATGTTTATATTTAATATTTTTAAAAAGGAGGTAACAAAGTCCCCGTGATAAAAAAAAAATGTTCAACCCCCCCATTGAAAATTCCTGAGTACGCCCCTGTGTATGAGCTTCTTAAGATACTATCAATACTTCCTGTTTCAACAGCAACTGCAGTGAGAAGTTTTTCAACATTAAGGAGATTGAAAAATTATCTTCGAATCACAACATCTGAATCACGGCTTGTAGGATTATCTCAGCTGTTATCAATGAAATAGAGATGTAGATATTACTGATGATATGGTACTAGATAAATTTTCGAACAGTGGAAAAGCTAGACGACTAAAATTAACAATATGATTAAAATAATAATGTATTGTTTTAAAATTTTAAATATAGTTTTTTTAATCACTTATTTTGCAGTTATTTTTTTTTTTTTGTAACTGATCAGCCCCCCCCCAAAAAAAAAAAAATTCCTAGATACGCCACTGCCTATAGTATTACGAAAAAACAATGTGGTGTTCATACAACAACAATAACAAAAACTATAGTTATTATTATTATTATTTTAAATTCTGAGCCGAGCGATGAATGGATTGATTTTATAATAATGTGTGCGTGTTTTCTTAAATTCATTTTTCTTCTTTTATCACATTTTGGGGCACAAAAAATGTCACCACACACGGTAAACTTATACTCTCACGTGGCCAATACCTTCAATGTAATTCATTGATATTTGGTACGTAACAAAAAAATTCTTGTTTAATATTCTGTGTGAGTTCCACGTGAACACGATCATGTTCAATGGGGCCATTATTCTGTTGGAATAAATAAAATCGTACTCTTTAATACGAAAAATAAGAAACAACATTTTACCGTGTAACGAAGAAATAATTGTATTATATAATCTCATGAAGACGAATGCATATAATATAGTGCTTTACAATTTTGAATGCCGAAAAATGAAAATATTATGT